GCTGTCTGGGAGGAGACAACAAGAGCTGAGGCAGAGATAGTGAAGCCAGCTCAATATTTATTCCACGTCTAAAAATATTTATTCCTTGCTGATAGTGGGGATGGCAGCAGAGGTGTGGTAACCGAATTTAGCACCTTTGGACAAAGCACTGGGGCCAAGAGGTGGTTGAGCCACGTTGGCATCAGCTTTGCAGGCACAAAGCAAGATGTGGGGAAGAGAGACAGAACATCCCTGAGCCAGGGACCCCTCAGACAGGGGTTGATGCCCAGGTAACCAACAGATAAATCTGCTGTGCAGGGACCTCATCAGAGTCAGGGGCAATAAACAATTCCTGCCTTTCTTGTGGCGTTTGTATTCGGCTGGGACTGAAGCAAGCACCCATTCCAGAGTGGGATTTAACATGAGTGAAATACCAGGAAAAGGGAAGCTGACTCCTCCTTTCAGCACAATTGTGGAGGGAGCAGCACTTTGCACTGCAGAGGGAGAGCCCAGACCTCGGGGCTGCCAGTGGGAGGTCCCAGCTCACACCCAGGAGCCATAAATCTCTCCCAGCACTCTCCCACTGCTCCTTCACATTCTGCCTCCTGGTTGTGACATTCACTCCTGGCTTCCTAAGGCCAAATTCCTGGTGCCCTCTGCGCTACCCCGAGGTGGAGTTTCCTCTTGCGAAATCAGCACAGCCCTGTTGGCTCTGAGGGCTGGGAAAGGCTCTGCTCATTGTTCAGGTCTCTGTGTCGCGGTCCTCATCTTCCTCCTGCCTTGTCCTGAGTGTTGGGATGCTCCTGCTCTAAAGGAGCAGGGGAAATGCCCTTGAATCCAGCTGGATCCCTTCTGCTGGGGAATGTGGGATAAATCCATAAGGTGCGCCCAAAGCAAGGAAAAATCAATAGAGCAGAGGGAGGTTGGTGACAGGAAATCCCAGTTTTTACTGGCATCCACTCACATCAGATAATCTGACTAAAACAAGAAAGAAATCGCTCCATATTCTGATTCCATGGAGCTGGGTGAGAGACTGCTGTAGGAAAGGAGCTTTTTGCCTTGCCCTTTGCTTGTTCTCACACTGGGATGTCTCATTTGTGTGTCCAGCAGTTCACCCAGCTCTGGAACACCCCGGGCAGGAGGAACAATTGTTTCTGCCGCGATTCCAAACCCAGCTGTTGGGAGAAGCTTTTGGGAGCTCCTGGGCTGCCCTGGATGGGGTTTAGGGGGAGCTGCCTGTGCCTCAGTCACAGCTGGTGACTAACAGAAAAGAACCTTCCCAGGTGTAAACAGAGAACTGGTTTTTTCACCTCCCAACAGGTGGCAACGGGACCTGGTCGTGTCCTGGCTCGAGTGGTGTCACTCCTGCATTTCTCCCTTGGATGACACGGAATTGTTGTCACTCAGCAGGAATTCTTTTCTCACTCTATGGACCTCACTCAGCAGGAATTCTTTTCTCACTCTGTGGACCAGGCCTGGTTTTCCACCCCAGCCAGCGAGGCTGGGAGTGTTCCTGAGCTGGAAGTGTCCTGGTGACACCGAGCCCTTCACCAGCTGGGCGTTTCCACGGAGTGGGCAGAACCAACTGCTGGGAAATGCTCTAATCTCAGCATTAGTGGTAATTGCATCCCAGCAAAGCCTGGCTTCAGGAGTTCCTCAGCTCTTGTGGGGACTCAGGTGCTCAGCAGGTCTAGAAATGAGACTCAGAACCATCCATGCTGCCATCCCCCCATTGCTTTGGGAGCTCCATTTGGGCACAGTCAAAATTAAGGAGCAGCTTTGGAGCTCAGGAGGTTTGTGAGCCAGGGTGATGCTTACCCTCCCCAGGGTGTGAGGATTAAGGAGTTAATGGTTGCAGAGTGCTTTGGAGATGACAAATGCTCAGTCTGGTGGCTTTTTATCAGGAAAGGGGATGAGAAGGAAGAAGTTCTCACTCCCACAATGGACCTGTGAGGTCTCACTACATCATGGAATTATGGAATATCCTGAACTGGAAGGGACCCACAGGGATCATCAGTCTGGTTCCTGGCCCTGCACAGACACCCCAACAATCCCACCCTGGGCATCCCTGGGAGTGATGTTCAAATGCTGCTGGAGCTCTGGCAGCCTTGGGGCTGTGACCATTCCTGATTCCCCCTCAGGGGGAAGAACCTTTCCCTGATATCCCACCTTACCCTCCCCTGACAGCTCCAGCTGTTCCCTCGTGTCCTGTCCCTGGTCCCGGGAGCAGAGACCTGCTCTGATGTGACAAACACTGATCTGACAGAGGTTTGCTCCCGTGCTGTCCCTGTGGACTGAGGTCGGGCAGCTCTTGGCAGTGAGAGGATTCCAGAATGGGTTCTGCAGTGTGTGAACAGTCCCCTCCCATTTATCCTGCTCCAACTTATTTATTTAACTTCCACACCTTCTGTTTCTTTTTCTTTCACTCCTCTGTGTCTTGGAGCTGCTACCCACAGAGCACCCAAGGGCTGCCAGCTGGGCTGTGTTTGCTGGGCAGCTTGTGCTCTGTGTCTAATCTCCTCAATGGACCCTGATTATTCCCTGGCTCTGACTTATCCACACGGATCTGCCCAGCCCTAATTGCAGGTGATGGTGTTGGTGGGGTCCCTCACAGGGCACTGATTCATGGCAGGGGACCTGAGGGCTGGAACCTCCATCCTCCACCCACACCAGCGTGTTTTAATTCTCCTACCAAAACCAACAGGTTAGCTCTCAATGCGCTGTAATAAATTTTGTGGATCTTTCTCTAAAGAAAAGTGGTTTCAAGGTGAGTTTTCCTGGCAGGAATCCTCTCAGAGCATCATTCCTGCTGCTCCCCCCGTGTACACACAAGTCAAGGTGTGTAACAGGATTTCATGCTGGGGACTTTCAGCGGGGCAGTTTGGGCCTTGCTCAGCCCTTCTGATACCTGAACTCAGGTGTGTCACCCCTGCAGTGGGAGCTCACCTGGGCAAGGCACAGAAGGGACAATTTGGGCTCCAGTGGAACCCAGCCAAGCCCTTCCCTAAAACATGAGCCGCACCAAGGCCTGACTTCTCCAGGACAGTGCCGTGGGTTCGTGCCCTGTCTAAATCGGTGCTGTCTGGAGGAAATCCTGATCCTGTGACATTCCCACCGGAGCCACGGCCCCTTCCAAGCACTTCCCCACCCGTTCCTGGCCGGGGCGAGCCCTGGCAGCCGCTCCGGCCCCTTCCCCATCTGCGGCCGGGATCCGGGGCAGGGTGGCCGTGGGGCCACCGGCAGGATGGGGGACAGGGACAGCGGGAGGCGACAATCGCTCTGACCCCCGAGGGTGTCACCGGGGAAGCGGGACATGCGGGATCGCAGTGCCAGCCCTGGTCTGTTCCGCTGTGTCCCTGCGGGATCCTCGGGGCCGACCCGAAATCTGCGAAAATCGGGGAAAAAAGAAAAAGAGGCCGGGGCGGACGGCGGGGTCGGAGCGGGGTCTGAGCGTGGCGGTGTGTGCGGGGCGGGCCGGCTGCATAGACTTTTTGAAACCATAAAGTATTTTGAGTTCTGTAATTAGAAAGAACAACGAACCAATAAAACGCCCCCCAAAACCCCAAACCCGAGAATTTTCCACAACGCGCCTCACGCCCCTTCCATTCCTTTCGCGGGGGACGCCGCTCCCCACGCGCGGCGCTGCAGCCACCGCGCCCTCTAGCGGAGCCGGGCGGGGAGGCCGCACCCCCCTCCGCTCGGGGAATGGTTTGTCCCGGCCGTGCCCCGGACGCGCTCGGTGCGCCCGGAAGAGGCGGCGGCGGCGGGCGGGGAGCGGGCGGGACGGGCCGGGCCGGGCGGCGCGGCCGGAGGCGGAGCCCGCGTGTCCCGATCGCCGCTCCGGGCACCGGGGAGCGCGGGCCCGCCGGCCGCGGCGGCACGATGCTGCTGTTCGTGGAGGTGAGGTGACGGCGCCGGGCCATGTGGCGGCAGGCGGCGGCGGGAGGCCGCGCACGCCGCGCCGGGGGAGGGGACGAGGCTGACACAGCAGATCCGGGGGCGGCGGCCGCGGGCGGGTGGAGGGGGGTCGGTGGGCGCTCTGGAAGGTTCCGCCGGGGCAGGGGGCGGGGGGGACACCGCCGTGACCTTCGGGTGCCGCCGCGGCCCGGCCGTGAAGGTGACGCGGGACACGCGGGGCCTCCCCGAGGCCTCCCGGGAGCGGGCCCGGCCCGGCCTCTCCGCACGCGGGGCGGCCCCGCGGGGCCGGCCCTGAGCGCGGCGCCTCGTTAATTTCGTTAATTAAACACTGGAGGTGGTTTATGGCGCGGGAGGAGGGGGTTCTGCCGTTCCCCGGCGCGCCGGGTCCAGGCGGGACGAGGAGCGCGGCCTGGCCCGGCCCTGGAGGTCACCGGGGAGGGCGGGCGCCGTGTCCGCTGTGGCCCGGGACGGGGCTTCACCTGCTCACGGCCTTTCACGGGTTCGGTGAAGCGGTTTCAGCCTTTGCTGAACGAACCCGGGTGGCCGCTATAAACTTTGCACCGAGTTTTGTCCCAAAACGTGCACGGAGCAAAGAGCTGCCGGGGCCGGCGGGAGGCCCGGAGGGAGCCGGGGGGCGCTGGGCTCTGTCTGCCCGAGAGGGTTCGGCTCGGGGGGTTCTGCTCTGGGGTTTTGTTCGGGTGATGGGTGAGGTGGTGCTGGTGGGCTCGCACACAAACACCAACATGTGCTCCGCGCTTAGGAACCTCTAAATAAAGCACTTTGGGAAACATGTTCTCTTTCTTACATGAATCACCTCAGTTCCGAGCTGAATGGAGCTGAATGTTCCTTGGCTTCGCGGAGAGGAATAAAAGTTGTCATGAGCACGGTGACAGGTCTGGAGAATTAGGGCTTGCAGTGTTCTGCTGGAAGAGGAACTGCTGAGGCTGATGGGAGGCACGAGCAGCTGCCTCATCCCAGGCTGAGCGTGGTGAGAGGCCCCTGCGAGCGCGGGTGCACGAGGCAGCTTCTGGAATGCAGGGATGGGGATGGGAGCTGGAGCATATCAGGGAGCACATGGCTGCTGCTGCTGCTGCTGCTGGTGGTGGTGTGGATGGGAGCTGCAGCTCATCGGCACTTGGGGGATTTTTGGGGAGTCCTAAAGCACGAACTCAACTCTGATCTTCCTCGGGTAGTGTTGGGAGTTACTGTGATCCTCGTTCTGGAAGCCTCAATAATATTTAATTTTGAGTTCATGAGGACTATCTGGACTTTCTGAAGGTTTCTTTTCACTGCCAGGACAGAGAACTGGAGTTCGGAGCTAGGTGTCCTGGAATGCTGCAGTTGGATGCTCAGCAGCTTTACCTGGGGATCTTTGGGGATGCCTGGGAAATAAGGCCCAGGATGGGTGGAAGTCCCAAAGTTTTCAGGGGGGGTTGGCAGAGTTGCTGTAGCTGTCAGTGTTTGTTTTAGACCCACTTGAGGTGTCAGCTTGGTGATTGTGCTGAGCCCTTCACAGGAAGGGAATTGGGTTTCCTTCAACATCTTTTAGTTCCAAATTTCTGTAGTGATGGCTGTATAAGGCTTGTGCTGTTTCATATGTTTGTTTAGGGCAGGCCTTTTTTCTCTCTCTAAGCCAAGATCCGTGTGCTGTTAACAATTAATAATTAGGTGCATTGGGAATATTAATAAATGCATCGAGAGAAATGGAATTGATAATGGCTGCTGGGCTCCACTCATCTGGGTATGTGCTCCTAATTCCATATATTTGTAATTTATTGGGGAAATGAGAGTCTGTGTTTTTCAGGTGGGTGAAATGCTGCCCGTGATGTTTCTTGGTTAGAAATCCAGGATTGTGGGGAGCACTGGGTGTTGTTGGCCCTCTGGAGCAGGTGAGGCTTCCTGTGACCCCACACTGGCCCTGCTCACACTGCTCTGACACAGGTACCACCTTCAGGCAGCACAACTGGGCCTTGGCTTTTCCAAGGGGTGCAGGAGACTCCCCTGGGCACGGGGGGCTCGTACCAGCCCATGGAAAACCCTGCAGCTCCTGGTGGCTCACAGTGATCCTGTGATTATTGAAATTACTGTGAGCCTGAGAGTTACCTGGGACACTGAGAGCACTGAGCTGTTACCTGAAACCTGCCAGCTGCTGCAGAGGGGTTCTGTGGGTTTGGTTTGACAGCAGCTTCTCCTTATGCAGCCTCTGAATGTGCATGAGCTCTGAGGAGGTGAGGGTGAAGCTCAGAGAAGGTCACGCTGTGTCTGAGCCCCTCGGGGTGCCCACCTGCCTGTCCCCCAGCCAGCACAAGGCTTCTCTTGGCTGCCTCCTGTAGCTTTGCTGACCTTGGGGTTTTTCCATCTGCTTACGTTTCCATTTCTGGAAAAGGGTTCGTTTCTCCCCTCACAAGTTAGGTTAAATTATCTTCTGGATTTTTTTGCTTTGATTCTGTTTCAGAGAGTTTGTTTATTCCAGGAAATCCATCACAAGCTCTGGGTTAGAATTTCGGTTGCAGAATAATTTGAGTTAATATTAAAATCAAATGCTTCAAAACTCATGAGTGCCTGCATTTTTGTTAGCTTAATTGAATCTGGTTAAGTGTAATTTTGATGTAATTACAATAAGAAAAATACCCTTTGCCATGTTTCAGAATGAGAATTTTCTTCAATAACCAATTTTTAGGAGTTGCTGGAGGAGAATCTTTGTTCCACGTTTGCTGGAAGTAGTGTGAGCGAGAGGGGAAGCTGTGCTGAGGAGGAGAGCTTTGTCAGCTCGTGGATCCCAGCGAGTGTTCCCAACCTTTGTCACTCTGTAAAGCTTTAACCTCGTCATGAAAGTTCCCGATAGCAGCTGGGAGGATCGAGCTGCAGCCAATCCCACAGGCTCAGTGTTTGTAGCCTCAGTTAAATAAGCAAGAATTGATATTTTGGCCTTCTCTTCTGAAGAGCCGCTGGCCAGGATGGAGCAGTTTTGCTCAGGGAGCGCAGCATGAATTTCCCAAAAGCTGATGTAAATTAGGGGCTTTTTGTCCTCTCCAGTCCGTGGGGTTTTGCTGTTGAGATGAGTGAGAGCAGGGCTGGATCGTGCTGGGCTGTTACAGCTCAGTGTTTCTAGCACAGGGGGAAGTGGCCCACGCTCTGTTCCAGGTGTGTCTCACTGTGTTCATGATCCATTCATCACTTCGTCAGAGCTGCTTTTAGTCCCAATCACCTCCAGAAATGCAGTAACCACTCCAAAGTGTTTCAGTTTCACTTTATCACATTTATTCCTTCAAATTACTTTAGGCCTGAGCTCAGTGCTACCCTCAGAGATGTAGGTAGTGAGGCATCGTTTATTTTTAGAAAAGAATGAATCATCTCTTGAATGTGTCTTGTCTCTTTTTGCTTTGTTGAAAAGTAAATTCAGGGAGCTGGGACCTGCTGGCTCTGGGTCCATGAGCAGGATCCCATCGTGGGCAGGTGATGAGGGTGCCCCAGGAGTGACCAGAAATTGAGCAGAGCTCAGTTTGGAGCAGCTGAACTGCAGGGACAGAGCCTGTGGGTGCAGCAGGTTACTGGCTTTTGCTTTGCAGGTTGTTTTATTGGTGAACAACTGCTCTGAAATCTGCAAGGGAGAATACACGTGTGTCCTCTCACCCTGAACTATTTCCAGTTTCCAGCTCTGCTCCTGGGCAAAGTTTAAGAGGAGGGGAAGACTCTGTTGCTCTGTGGATTAAATCAGTTGTGCGTGGGGGGTTTGAATCTCGGAGCTTTGCAAAAACTGTGGTCTTTGTTTTTTCTTCTCACATGGTTGTCTTGAACCTCTCCAGTGTTTGGAGGCTTCTTGTTGCTGAACTGGGGCTTGTCCTTGCAGCAAACAGCTCTGGCACGAGGTGTGACCTTGGCAGAGGAATTATCTCTAAAGCTATTGCAACTGCTTCCTTATCCTTGTGCTGTATGTTTGAGGCCTGGTAGTGAGCCACTCCTTAACTTCAGAATCCAGGAGCCTGGCCTCCAACATACCCAGCTTGCTTATCTGTGTGTTTGTGGATATGAGCTGGATTAATGGCTTTCACCTTTTAAAGTCCAGCAAATTGCAGCAGTGAAATGGAGCATCGTTCTGTGGTTGGAGGAAATGTTTTAGCTGCTTGTGGGGTGTTGGGATATCTTGGGGGGAGGATTTTTGCAAAAGGGTGGTTTTATTCACTGCCCTGTAACTGTAGTTATTATTTCACTATGTGAAAAGCCACGATTTTCCTCTGTGCTGCTGCTGGATTGTTGGATTCCTCACCCAAATGCCTTTGAGCAGCTCTGGGAGAGGGACCTTGAAGTCCCACACTATCTTATGCTGTGGGAATGAGCATTTCTCTGTGTCAGGTGCCAGGCTGGAGTCCTGCAGCTCTTCTTGTCTGTCTCTCATGTAACCCTCTCACTCTAATTATGGTCCTTGTTGCCCAGACCCAAAGTGAGAAGATCCTGTTCTCTCCCCAGCAGGCTGGGATGGTGTGTAAGTTTGTCTTGGCAATTCAAAACCTTTAATCTCCTTGGTTACAAGTTTAAGGAAATCATTAGTGTCTGTTGATGTGTGTGAGATTCCTGGGGGATGGGATAGGACTCGGGGAAGTTCAGGAGGAATCGTGGCACAGCACAGGTGATGCTTGGTTAGTACAGATATCACTAATTCCGTTAAGTTATACAGTTTCTTCTCCTTGACATATGTTTTTTTACCTTCCTTTCTAGGAAGGGGTCTGGAGGAGGGAAAATTTCCCTTTCTGGTGAAAGGGGACTGGAGCATTATGACAGTCAAGTCTTTAAAAGCTTATGAGTTCCCAGAGTCCTTGCCGAGTAGCCGCTGCCTCCGCTGATGTTGTCGGATGTCAATAAAGAGAGGTTGAAGGCAACACTTCTAATGGAGGTAGAAACGAAATACTTGGAAAATACCAAGGATTTTCCTGTTTTCATTAATAAAAAAAAAAAAAAATCACATAGGTGCTTAATAGCTGGGTAGACACTTGAGATGTGGAACTCTAGAGACAATCACTAAATTCGCCTGTATTTTCTTGGCTTGAATTCTGGGGCTTCTCTGGGTTGCTCTCACTAACCGAAGTTGTTCTGGTCTCTTCAGCAGGTAACATCAAAAGGTGCTGGCTTGAACCCCAACGCAAAAGTGTGGCAAGAAGTGCCCCAGGGCAGTGGTGAGGCCGTGCCCCCCACCAATGGCACAGAGCACACGTGGCAGGAGACAGCAGCAGCCCAGGGGACTCCAGCTGAGGGTGAGGTGTTGGGACAGGGGTTTGGTGATTTGGTGCTTCCTTGGGGAGTTCAGCTGGAGCAGTGTGTATGAAAGGAGCATGAGAAAGCAGCAGGTGCTGTGTAGGGGTGGTGGTGTCAGCTCGGGTGGGTTCAGCTCTGGCTGAGCTCGGCTGGAGCAGCATTCCAGGGGCCCGGTGATGACCGAGTAACGCGCTAAGAGGGGAGCAGGGCGCTCAGAGTGCACCAATTGCTGCACTTGAGCATCCACTGGACCCTGTGAACAGGACAATGAGATCTGAGGGCCACCTGCAATCCTGGGGAGCCAAGGTGCTGCTGAGAACTGTCCAGGAGCATTTGTTCTGGAGCAGACCCTGTGCAGTGTCCGTGGTTAACTCCTTTCCATTCAGGCTGTTCCACTGCAGTCCCATTCCCATCCTCACCACACAGGCAGTGTCCAAAACTAAGGATTCAACTCCAGAACTAAGGATTCAGCTGCTTTCACTTGTTTGGCTCAGACTTGATCCAGGCTGTAGTTGAGGTGAATCAAAAGCATGGTAGAGGATGCAGAAGATTCCCTGCAAAATGGTTTAGTAAAAGTTAGGGAATATTCAGCTTGTGTGGCCTTGTCAAAGGTTTCTGGTAAGTCAGCAGAAGTGAGGAGAGAGCGCTGGGTTTGTGCTTTGCCTGACAGAAACTCATTTGTCTCTTCATAACAAAGTGAAGCAATTGAGGCAGTGTAAGCAATTTTCATCCCTTGTTTTTAGGAACCTCGCTTAAATATTTTAAATTTCATGTGGAAAGACTGTTTTTTAGATTCTCTGCCACTTTAGGGATCAATTTCAGGATCCTTTGTTTACTTTAATTTACTTACTGAGAGCCTAGTGCAAACCAGATCTTCTTGAAGCTGGGGAGCTGTAAGTTTTATCCAACACAAAGCCTAAGAAATACAGGCTAAGATTAGACACTCTGAGGTTCAGCTTTCTTCAGTATTTGTTTTAATGTCGGTAGCCAGAATTTTTCAAATGGGAAATATGCTGAAGCTGACAGGAGTTTTCCTGCTGCTGGTGTGTTCCTTTGCCAGGTAACATAGAGATCTCAGAGGACAGTTGCAAGCAGTATGAAGTGATGTATTCCCCGTCCTGTGAAGCCACAAGGAATGGCACAGGGGTTGAGGAGGCGTCAGCAAATGGAATTGTCCTGGCAACTGAAGATCTGGGCTACCAAATCTATGAAGTGTCTGGTGAGTGAAGTTCAAATGCTGCTGTCAATGTCTGTAACCCCCCTGGAGCTGCTCAAATCGTGGTGTGACCAAGTTGGAACTCTGATATGTCCATGTGTATCCAGGAAGTTCCAGCGTGGCCTCAAGACGTGGCCAAACAAGTGCAAAGTGGGGTCAGAGTCATTTTGGGAGTGTGAGCTCTGGGGGTCTTCGAGCATCTCAGATGAGCTTTTCCTCTTGGTCCTACCCAGAGGGATTCATTCTCGTATTCTGCAATGAGATGTGTCCTTGCCTTGTCATGAGGGTGGGAGCTGATGGTGGATGTGTTCCTTTTCAGGTGATGGCAGCTCCTCTGTGTCCACAGAAGACATCAGAGAATGTTTGAGAAAACAACTCGAATTCTGCTTCTCACGGTAGGTGCAGTTAGCTTGCTATAAACCCTTGATTAAAATCCTTGGCAAATATTCCTCTTCTTGGCTTGATATGTACCATCATCTTCATAAAACCTCATCTCATCTTGATAAAAACTCAAACCAAGATTTGCTGATGTGGTGTAGAAGCCCTGGGGCACCTTCCAGCTGTTTCAGACCTGTCTGTGAACGTGTCCTTGGGTGAGGATGACTTCTCTGTTCCACAGTCATAAGATGTTGAGATCATTTACTGTGTGGCACCAGGAGTCTTTTTGGCAGATCCTTTTTGCAGACCAACGTTTAAGGCACTGGAACTTTATAAAGTTTTTTAAATTATCTTATTCTGCTTAGTGTTGATTTGCTGGAATTTGTTCCAGGAGAGAAAATCTGAGGGTGTTTTGGTTGTGAATGATACTGGTCAATATTTATTTGAGCCTGTAGTTGTCCTCTTTTATTTTTTTTTTTTTAGTTTTCTCTTAGTCAGGTTCAGGATCTTTATTAAATAATAATTTTATGTCTTTATAGAGAGAATCTTTCAAAGGATCTCTACTTGATGTCTCAGATGGACAGTGATCAGTTCGTTCCAATATGGACAATTGCCAACATGGAAGGGATTAAGAAGCTGACAACGGATATGGACCTTATTCTTGAAGTTTTGAGATGTAAGTCTGGGAATTTGGTGTCTCTATGTAGCACAAAGAATCCTTCCATGCTTCAGAGGGATGTTGCAGTCTCTGAGCTGGTTATGGTTTGTTGTTCTGGTAAATGGTGACAGGAACTTCACTGAGTAGGAGGCTGTTCCAAACTCCTGAATTCTTATTCTTTGTTCCAAGTTCCATGGGAGAGTCTGCTACTGCTGACATGTGCACAACGTCCAAATTCTATACTTTATTTTCAGCTTCTCCAATGGTACAAGTGGATGAAAGGGGGGAGAAAGTCAGACCAAACCACAAACGATGTATTATCATTCTCCGTGAGATCCCTGAAACAACACCTATAGAGGTAAATAAAGAAATCAATTACTCTGTTGCTGGTTTTGGAAATGTCTTCAACAGGGCTTCAAACAGCACCAGGAAAAGGTCAGCTGGTGTTTAATTGGATTAAACACAGATATTTTTCTTCTAGACCACAGTAACTTTTTCCACCTGGGTGCGTTGTCAAAATAGCCAAAACAAAAACTTATTGCCATTGTCCCTTCCCATTATTTATTACTATATTTAAACTTTCTTCAGTAAACTTTTTTTTCCACCAAAGCTGAGCTAGCTTGGCTTTTCTGGAAGGAAGTTTGAACTGATTTCTTTTCAGATCCAAAAATAAATCAGTCCAGGGCATAGCTTGGAATTCAAGCTGAATTTTTGTCACTGCAATAACTTTGCTTGAAGTCAGACGGTTGTTTTGGCAGCAAGAAATGTTACTAAACATTTCTCATTCATTGAGCCCCAGTGTGAGCTGAGCTCATTATGCCTGAGGAGGGAGGATAATAAAATTCCTCCTGATACTTGGCAAACAGAACGATTTAGTTCTTTGTTTTTTAAAGTTATAACACAGGGTGTTTGTCTACCAGCATTTTTAATGAATTCTTTTAATGCAAGCACCGAGCAGCTGCTTGTCCCTCTCTTTACAATCTGATTATTGCAAAGTTGTCAGGTTGCCTTGACTTAGAAATGTTTCATGGAATCATTGTTGTGTCCATGACTCTGCTGATCTGAAGCCACACTTTTCCTACCTGTTTCATATGAAAATATGAGAATATCAGGTCTACACAGATCTTGATTTTCTTACCAGCTGGGCCTGCTCTGTTTTCTCTTGGGAGCCCAGGAGGCTGAACTAGGATTCAGAAGCAGGTAGAGGGAATAAAAATCCATCCCTGGCCACGGGAGAGCAGCAGCTGAGGAGCTGGAGCATAAACTTGGCTCACTTTAGTGTTCACTGTACAAGGGCCCTGAATTTGTCTCCCCAGGAGGTGAAGGCTCTGTTCAAGAATGAGAACTGCCCCAAGGTGATAAGCTGTGAGTTTGCTCACAACAACAACTGGTACGTTACATTCCAGTCCGACACAGACGCTCAACAGGTAAGGTCCTGCTCCTCCAGCTTCAATCCTTCCCCTGCTCAAAGTGCACGTGTGCTTCCTGTAGCTAAAAGAAATATTTATTTACTGATCCCCTTTTTGTTGTTTTAAGAGATTACTGCCGGATTCTGGTTAATAAGACTAAAGTTGAGAGATTGTTGGGTTATAATTCTCATGCCTCGGTGTTCACTGGCCATGACTGGCACTAGAATCCTGAATTTGAAGTGTTAATGAATTCAGCTGGGCTGACAGGGAAGCACATGACTGCACGTTTTTGTTAAATCATGGAACATCCTTTGGGAAGTACAACTCTATCGAGATATTCTAATATTGATCTTTTTTATATCTGCAGGCGTTCAAATACTTAAGGGAAGAAGTGAAAACCTTTCAGGGCAAGCCAGTAATGGTGAGGCTGCTTTAGCTGCTCTATCTGTTGGGATTGATTTGTTTCTGTTTGGATGATGGTGACCATTTTCTGGGGGGTGAGCCAAGGACTCAGCAGTGGGATACTCCACAACTCTGGCTCTGGAAGCTGAAATGTGAACAAGGACATGGGGAGCTGTGACAAATCACAGTTCAGTGCCTGCTGGTTACTCACAGAGCTGCTTCCCAGGGGGGGTGAAATACATTCCTGTGCTGACTTCCCTTCTCCACTTGCCCCAGAATCTGGATTTGCAGAGCTCAGGAGAGGGATTCCTGCCACTGTGAGTCTTGAGTTGGCTGCTGCACAAAGCAGGCTGAAGCGAAGTGCAATAAGAGGAGCTGTCAGGATTGGAGTCTGGACAGTTCCTGCTGTAGAAAGCAGCGTTTATCTTCAGTTTTACAGATCACCCAGCTAAAGCAATGTGTGTCCTTCCTCTTATCATGCTGTGGGAATATGAGCTGGACTGATTTTATCAGTTTTTATTCATAAGCAGTAATCAACCTTCACATCCCTCCAGCAGGCAAGAAAAATTCCATCTTCTCCTTTTCTCCCAGCTAACTCCTGGTGTGATTTGCTGTCTTGCAGGCCAGGATAAAAGCCATCAACACATTTTTTGCTAAGAATGGTTACCGGGTGGTGGATTCCAGTGTGTATTCCCAGCCTGTGCAGACCCAAGCCCAGTTTGCCTCCCCCCTGTTTATGCAGCCTGTATATAGCCCTCAGCAGTACTCCATTTACAGCATCGTGCCTCAGACGTGGTCTCCAAATCCTGCACCTTACTTTGAGACACCACTGGTGAGTAACAGTTGGTGAGAAGGGGAGGAGGAGCCCAGCCCATCAGGGATAATTTGTTAATAATCATTAGGGCGGGTGGGTGTTCAGGTTTCTTGGTCAGATCCTTCTGTTTTATGACATTTCTGTCATGGCCCTGATAAAGCAGCACTGTCAGAGGAGCTGCCAGTCTCACCACTGGTATTTCGAGGAATTTTGGTGTGAAATTCCATTATCCTGCAGCTTGTGTTACTGGGAGAGCCCATAGCTTTTCCAGGAATGGGGGAGCTGTGCTAAAGCAGATGCAGACTGTGAAGCTGTGGGGATTTGGCTGGAGTAGTTGAGTTCACCCCACAGTAGAAGCTGTAGCCCAGTGTGAAATTACAGCCATGAGTAACTACTGAAGCTGCTCATTAATCTGCAGACATTTTCTTTGTAGCTCAGGCACTCAAACTGTTCTGTGTGTTGCAGGCCCCGTTTCCCAACGGTGGATTTGTGAATGGCTTTAATACACCAGGATCTTATAAAACAAATGCTGCTTCTCTGAGTATAGGTCGCCCATTCCACAGGAATAGGTAAGAGACTTCTGCCAGGTGTTTGCTCCTGCAAAGCTTCCAGTACTGAGATCTTCAAGTGTTCCTTGCATGTCATGTGCACTGCTTTCTGATAGGACCACGTTATTTAATTTTAAAATTCAAACGTGTAATGCTTTTTAACTTAATTTAAAAAATGAGGTAGAAGGTGACAGTGTAAGATCCTAAAATAATGGACACAGTGCTGGAGAAAGCGAAGGTAACTCCTCTAAAAGCCTCAGAGGAATTTCTGCAGACAAATAAATAACTTCCTCCTAAGGTCATACTTGTAATTATGTTTGTTATACACAGATTATAAACTCCTGCAGCACAACATAAGCCTTTCCTGCTGGGATCAGGCTTGTGGAGCTGCTGGTTCCTGCAGTGGGAGTTGCTTGTCCTGACTGCTGCGTCCAACTGCTCGATGCTGGGGCTGTTCCTGTAATTTATTTGCTTTATCCCCATCTTTCCTGAGAGCTGTGAGGACTTAGCTCAGTTGTAAACACTGGGGAGTAGGAAACACTTTGTATTGCTGGAGCAATTGCTCTGTGAATACAATGGAGTAGTAACCTGCGTGTGGGGGTGGGAGTTGTTTGTGTGCAGCACAGGGCTGGGATCATGGGAATTGCTGCTGGTATTGTTGGAGAAATCAATTGACAACTGCCAGGGCTGTGAGTGGGTTTGTGGTGCAGTTCAGGTCTGTGGCTCTTGGCAGAAGGGGGAACTTCAGGCTTTGGTCTGTGGTGACTCAGCAGAGTCTTAGCACAGACTCTGGAACTGGGAGTGTGACTGTGCCTGGAACACGGAGCAGCTGCTCCTGTTGTGGCTGCTCAGCTCCCAACTCACATCTTTACAAAGGTGGTTTGGCTTTTTTTTTGTGCACAATTTAAAGCAAAAATCTTAAAACCTGTAAATCTCTCAGCTATGTGGACCCTCATGGAAATACACACTCTGCAACTGTGCAAGAGCTGCGTGTATCCAAATACTAACACCTCGAAATGCCTCCCTGTACATCCCATCTGCTTTTCAAATCCTGGTTATGCAAAGGCTTTGATTTGTAAAGCTCGAATTTGCATCTTTAGGGTCAGTGCTGGCCCAGTGATGATCAAGTATCGCGCTAAGAGAGAACAGGTCACAGTTGGAGGCTGGGCAGCCTCTGCTCCCTGCTTCTCCTTCCTCCTGCTCTTCCTTCCTTCTGCTCTCACATCATTTCTCCTTCTCTCTGCTCTTTTTTTTTTTTTTTTTCTCCTCCTTTATCTTTCCTTCTCTTTTCTGCTTTGCTCTTCTGCCCAGACAAGACTGTGGCCTTCTCGATGACGGGTAAGATTATGAGATCTGAGGGCTGAGCAGTGACTTGAGAATGTGCCATTTTGAGAACAACTTGGACAAAATGGAAGAATTTAGTTGACTTTGCTCCACCTCCTCCCTATGGTTTGTGCTGATGGGGAACTTAAACTTTATTGGGCCCTTAAAACTGGATCCTGATGCTTCTTGAAGCTGGGAAATGTGAATTCATCTCTCTTCAGCAAATCTCCTCTTGAATTATGGAACAGCTTGTTTGGAGAGTTCATCCAGCTGCTGCTTTTGGATTTCTGTCCTGGCCCATTAAACTTGATTTGTTTTGTGGTACTGACAGTTAATAGTTAAGTGCTGGAGTTTTCTCTGTAGCTAAACATTTGTTTAAGCCACTCGTATTTATTTTGTGCTGATTTGTTGCAACATCCTTGTGGGAAAGGGAGATGGAGGAATCATAGTTTGGCTGGCACTAGGAGAGTTTCCTCTGATTTCGTGGAATGTTATAATGGGATTGTTTAAAAACAGCGAGTGTGCAAAATCCTCCTGCTGTTCTTAAATTATGAGATGTGCAGAGTTTACCAAAAGAGAGAGAATTTAGGGTTCTTGTCTTTGATCAGTGCTGCATGGAAAACCAGTGAAGGGCAAAAGTAGAAAATAGTTGAAAACACCTAAATTCTGCTCCAGAAAACTTTTCCATATTGTGCTGGATCTGAGGTTTTCTGGAGAATTCTGCATTTAAGACCCTGAGCCTGAACTTGCAGCAGCCCTGAGTGTGCAGAGCTGTGTCTGTGCTCAAAGGAGCCACAGCTTTAATGCTGAATAATCGATAACGTGGTGAAACATTCGGGGGTTGGGAAGTGCAGAGTCAGTGCTGGGGGTTTGGGAATGGGAGCAGCCAGGCTGAGCCTGGCCATGCATGGCAGGGCTCAGCTGCCCTGGCCTGATGTGCCGTGTTCACTCACCCCTGGCCTTGTGTGTCAGTTCAGTTTGTTTGCCTGTGGCCAGATCAGTCTGTTCCTTGGCCTTGGCTTATTTCTCCAGCTCCATTTCCAATGCCCTGTGTCAGTGCTGCAGGCCCAGACAAAGGAAAAATTCCTCTTTGGGTTCTTCTTGCGACCCCTGGGTTTGGAGGTTTTTTTGTTTGTTTGTTTGAGATTTTCAGGACTTCTTTTCCCTCCTGGGTATTTTTTTGGGCAATAATCTCAAGCAGGAGTTGTGGTGCTCGCTTTTCCCAGCTGCAGTTGGTGGTTGTGGTGTGGTTCCTCAGCACTGGGCTCTCACAGTTGCTCTTGTGTCTCTGCAGGGTGAAGCCTCATTTCCGTTCCTCCAGCAGCTCCGAGCACCCGGAGGGGCCTCCCGGCGCCGGGGCCCTGCCCATGGGGGACCTGAGCAGATCCAGCTCGAGGAATTTTGTCATGGAGAGACACAGCAGCTCCTTAACTGGGCACCAAGAGCAAGGGTATTCCCAGAAGGATTCCCCCACGGCCCAGCTGGAGCAGAACGGCGACTACGGCGTCGGCAGGGGCAGGTAAAGAGCTGTGCCCCCCGTTTGCTGTCACACAGCAGCTTGTGTGAGCCAAAATCTGCACAAAATACATTCCTGTGAGGAGCAGCCATGAGAAAACTGATGTGTAAGTAGATCAGGAGCAGTGAATGCTGACCTGGGAGCAGGAATGGTTCCAGCTTCGCTCTCTGACAAACAGGAAGACAGTGAGGTGTTTTTATTTTAAAGTGAGTGATTTGTCCCCAGAATTAAAACAGGTGCTGGAGTAAAGTTGACATCTGTATTGCTGTAAATAATAAGTAAATCCTCATTTGGGAGTTTGATGTTCTTCAGTATTTTAAGATTAAGTGGTTTTATCTTTTTATTTTAATTCTGGGTTTAGACACTTGAAAAGGCAGATCAGTGAGAAATCAGACTATAAAATAATTGTCCCTATGCTTGGTCAGATGCTCATGCAGGGAGCTGAGAAAGAGAAGCTGTTCCCACATATTGACTCTGTTCCAACTTCTTCCAAAGCTGGAACTCGGATCCCCCCTGAGGAGGGAGAGCATGCCAGAGCTGTGTGTGGGGAAGGCTCAGCAGGCAGCTGTGCATGCCCTCATGCAGAGCAGTGCCCACTGCAGCTGCGTGGGTGCCCTGACTGCTGTTCTTGTCTTTAAAGGAGGAACGTGTTCAGAGGTCGGAGGAGACGGGAGGACGACCGAGTTTCAGTAAGTTGTGCTGCTCTTTCTGCAGGGAGTCACACACAAAGTGCAGAGTGTTGGCTTGTCTGTTCTCAGAGGAATGGCAGAGCCCTTAAATCCTCAGATTACTTTGGGGGTTTACAGTTTTTCTAAGAAGTTCCCTGACACTTGTTCAGGGCTTTCACTGCTCAGTGTTATGACTCTTAACTTGTGTTTTCCCTCTCCAGAGACCTCAGCCTTCAGCAGAAACAAAGACTCAGACACCAAAGTTTGACTTGCTTGCATCCAATTTCCCACCTTTGCCTGGCAGCACAGCAAAAATTCTGGGAGAGCCTGTGCTGGAGAGCAGGATGTCCGACATTGTTAAAGGAGTCTGCAAAGAGAAGGTGCCTGGTCTTGTCTCCATACACACACGGTCCTGTCTGGGTGCTGTGACTCCCTTTTCCCTGTTAAAGGGTTGGTTTGTTAGAGCCATGTATTCCAGTGTTTTAATCCCAGACTTCATACTGGTTTGTTCATAGAATAGTGGATTTTCCCAGATTTTTTGTGGGAATGGAGCTAGGGCTCATGCAGTCCTGCTGTTGTAAACTCAGTGATGTTCAGGAATAAAGCAGGCAAAGGAGGAATGTTGGCTGTTGGAGTAGGAAGAGTTTGGTGGGGTGTGGGCAAGGGATCTTTGCAGATGAATTTGTTCTTTGAGCTGGTGGGATTAAGCACTGATATTGTGGGTGCCCCAGCTTAGTTCTGGTTTTGCTCATATAAAGACGTATTGCTTTAGAGGTGATGGTCCAAAAAAAATAAAATCCCTATCAGGATTTGAGCAGCCTTTGGGACTGCCCCACTTCTCAGATGTCTTGCAGTGCCATATTGTGGAGTAATTTGAGTACTGTTTCTGTAGTTTGCAACTTTTGCTCTGTGTGCAGGAAAGCAAAGACTCCGTGTCCCCGTGCCCGGCTCCTGCTCCGGACGAACAAACGCCCAGCGCTGCCCAACCGCCCGTGCCCAGCGTCAGCTCCCCGAGCCAGACTGAGCCCGTGCTGCTGAGGTATGCACACAACGTGCTCTGGACATGCTGTGGGCATGCCATGCAACCGTGCAGTGTCCTGAGCTGGAAGGGACCCACCAGGATCATCCAGTCCAACCCCTGGCCCTGCTCAGACACCCCAAAATCTCACTCTGGGCATCCCTGGCAGTGCTGTCCAAAAGCCCTTGGAGCTCTGGCAGGCTTGGGGCTGTGCCCATTCCCTGGGGAGTCTGGGCAGTGCCCAGCACCCTCTGGGGGAAGAACCTTTCCCTGCTATCCCAGCCTGGCCCAGCTCCAGCCCTTCCCTGGTGTCCTGTCCCTGTCCCAGGGGGCAGAGATGGGAGCTGCCCCTCGGGATGGAGCTGCAGACCCCAATGAGTCTCCCCTCAGTTTCTTCTCCAGCTGAGCAGACCCAGAGCCCTCAGCCACTCCTCCACACCTTCCCCCATCCCCTTGTCCGTGCTTTGGACCCTCCTACAACTTGACATGTTTTTTGATATTGTGGTGCCCAAACTGCCCCCAGGACTGAAGGTGAGGCCACTCCAGTGCAGAAGAGTGGGACAATCCCCTCCCTCATCTGTCTGGCAGTGCTGGAACTGATGGCCCCAGACCCTGGTGACCCTTTGGGCTGCCAAGGCACTGCTGACTCATCTGCACGTTCTAGCAAAGTCATATTGGGTGGTATCTTCTCCAGAGGCCACCAGATGGAAAGAACAGATCATGGCGGGAATGGCTGTGCTGTTCTGTTCTGCACTTGTGACTTGAAAGAAAGGAAATAATCTCAGAGACACGAGTGTTGGTAGGTTTTAATTCGGATTGTTGTTGCTTTATCAGCACGGTTCAGCCAGAGAGCAAACCAGAAGAAGTGTCTGCTCCAAAGGACGCGGCCAGCCCGGCTTCTCCACCGGCACCCGTGTGTCCCATCAGTGCTGCAAAGCCACCCAGGACAAACACCTCCTCACCTTCTGCTCCAGCAAGTGCAGCTCCTGCTCTGTCAACACAGGTAAGGCCTAGAGCAGGGAGTGGGAGTGACAGAGACACGGGGAATGGGAGTGACAGAGACACGGGGAATGGGAGTGACACAGGGAATGGGAGTGACACAGGGAGCTTTCTCCAGGATGTGCTGATGGTGCACCTGGGAGCTTCCCCCTGCTGTTGTGCTGTGTCTTCATGCCTGGGATAGGCTGGCAGGTGCTTGTGTTGCATAAACCTCGCTCTTCTTGCTCCCAAAGGAGCCTCGCAAGCTCAGTTACGCCGAAGTTTGCCAGAAACCCCCAAAGGAGCCTCCTCCAGTCCCCATCCAACCTCTGAGGGAACATCGCACCAACATCGTTCCCCCTGCCAAAAATGAAGAGAATGGCACGGTGGAGAAGGTTCCAGAGAAGGCTCCTCACGAGAGGGCTGAAGGAAGAATGAAGGATTTCTCCGGGTTCCGAGGCAGTGGAGCTCCCAGGGGAGCTGCTGGGAAAATCAGGGAACAGAGGCGCCAGTTTGGACGCAGATCTTCGCCTCAGGGAGCGCCACGCCGAGTGGGCAAGGAGCAGTTCATGGTGGGCAAGGAGCAGCAGTACACGGTGGGCAAGGAGCAGCAGTACGTGGGCAACGTGGGCAAGGAGCAGTACGTGCCACCCCAGTCACCAAAGTAACGCTGAGCCAGCCAATGATTTCTCTGTTCGACTTGAGCTGTGGACTAAAGAGCAGCAGAGAGACTTGAGGAGGGAAGGATTCGGGAAGGGGAATACTGAACTGGAGCGTGGCTTGTTTGGAGAAGTTGTGGAGGGTCCCAAAATTCATCTCTAAAAGTGATTTCATAAATGCTGGAGGATTCCAATCACTATAAATATAGAGATTATAATTTTTGTATTTTTTTTTGTTTTTAATTTGCAGAGGGTTTCCTGCTTGAAATCAGCTTTGGGATTGTGAAAGTAGCGTTTTGACAAAGTGAAAGAATATGAGTTGACAAATTAACCTGTCCCTCGGTGTAGGAGGAAGAGGATTAAGAGAATATTATTTTTGGAAAATGAGCATTTCTGTAAAATTAGAACTTTTTTTAACCTATTTAACGTTTGGCTTGTGGGCTGGTGTGTCTGCCGTGGATGGCCTGGCATTGCAGGGGCCTCTGCAGCAGCATGAGCAGAGCGAGTGCAGCCAGAACTGTTGTCATCACTTAGTCACTGATGATGAAAACTGAATGTACTACTGTAGTAACCCATGTGTTTCCAGCTTGAAGTAGAGTCTCTTGACCTTACTAATGTTTCATTCAGCAAGCTTTTTAAGGTATAAATTTTGCAGGATACTGGGTTGTAGATGAGAGTGTGTGGACAGCAGAAATCGTCTCGTAGACGCAGTGGAAGGAGGCAAAGGGAGCATGGGAGAATCTTTATTTTGCCCTTTTTCCTCGCCTCCTTTTGAGGGCAACTCCTTAGGTTTGGGGTTTTGTTTGTTTGCTTTTTCCCTCTCCTTGTTACTTTCTCTAATTTCTTTATTACAGGCTTTAGTGCATTTTTTTTTTTTTTTCTTGGTGTGTTTTCCTGAGGCAGCCCCAGGGTGGGGACGGGCAGGTGACTCCAGAGCATCTGGTGTTACCTGCACAGGTAGAGAGCCTGGAATTGCAGCTGCAGATGGGGAATTCTGCCTTGCAGGTGGGAGCTCTGGGCACTCACTGTCATCTCTGGGCAGCAAACCAGAGCTGTGGCTGGCTTTTCTCTGTGCTGACTCTGGAATAGGCTGTTGGCTGCTGCATTGCCAGAAATCAGGGTTGAGACTCCTGGGAACTCGTTGTTTACAGTTGATGTCATAGCAACTGACTCCTTTTTAACTGTTTAAAGTGGAACTAAAGATGCAGAGTTAAAGAAATCCCCTCGTGTTCAGAGAAGCTCCTGGAGTGGTGGCTCCTTGCCAGCTGTGTGCTGACTGAATTTGCAACACTATTGTGCAGTAAGTGGTTAAGTTTCAGGGTGATTAATGACTGAAATAGGAACATTGAGCTCATTAATCTGCCAAAATCAGCATACCAGGGTTCAAAGTTCTGTATAAAGCGTTAGGGAAAAGTAGCTTCCAGCAGTAAGAATCACACCTTTATTTTTTCCTCCTTTTTTTTTAATTTTTTTTTTTTTTAATTTTTAGTGAATAGCAAGTGTACAAATTTAAAAGTTGTAAGTTGTGAACACTGGAAAACTCAATTGTGATATATTCCGTAACCATCTTAGTAATATATGCTCGTGTTGCCATAGAATGAATGTAAGTGGCAGTTAAAATAACTGTGAAATTTTTCATCTTCTGATTTCTTAGCCAGATAACCCTTGGCGACTTGGGCCTCAGTAGGAATTCTCTATCAACTGCTTGGAGAACACTCATATCTATTTTTATAAATATATATATAAAGCCAGAGTTGTCATTTCTCTAACTTATTATTCAGCTTGGCAATTGCTTTGAGTTGATTCATAACACAATATAATGTATTTATGCAGTTAACTGTTCATTTCTACGCATGTTAGAGAGAGTCAGAAAAATCACAGAATGGGGCTGAGTTGGAAGGGACCCATCAGGATCATGGAGTTCAACTCCTGGCCCTGCACAGACACCCCAAAAAAATCCCACCCTGTGCCTGAGAGCTTTGTCTAAATGCTCCTTGAAATCAGACAGGTTTGGAGCTGTGACCCCCTTCCCTGGGGAGTCTGTTCAGTGCCCAATCCCCCTTTTCCTCATTTCCCACCTCAACCTCTCCCCCAACTCAGCTCCCTGCCATTTCCTCAGCTCCTGAAGTATGTATACATATATATATTTAGATAGATAGATATATATAGGTATATATATATATATATATAAACCCCAAAATCACTATTCACTTTGAAACTACCTGTACTGGGTTTGGGAGGTTTTTTTTAATTTAGTAAAAAAAATCGTTGATCACATCCACAGTTTAGGGATTCTTACAGACCCTTCTCCATTTATTTTGATAATGCTACTCTTGTTGGAAATGATAGGGAAATTAAAATATTTAGTGTCAAAAGTCATGAAAAGCAATGAATACGAAGTTTAATTAATTTTTAAAGACTCTAAACAATTCCTGCAGCCAAACTGGAACGAAACAAGCCTGTGGGATGGTTTTTGGGTATTTAGGGGAGGTGTGTTCTGGGATGTTGAGGAAGCATTGGGATGCTGACAGCTGTTGGCTGTTCTGAGGAGGAATTGAGAGGGAAGATGGTGCAGATGTTGCTCAGAATTCCCTGATCCAGTGTCAGTGACTTGCTCGTGGTGAAGTGGAACTTGGATCAGATGTGGGAAAACCCAACCAGCTGTGGCCCCACCTTCCCTGTGGGGCGATGGGAAGGGGCTGCTCTGGGGGTCCTGGGGTGTTTGCAGTGCAGTGGGTGCAGGTCAGGCTGGAACTGTTGGCTTTTCCCAAACTTCTCTCAGCTTAGGGCGCTTGCAATGATTTATTTCACACCTGCATGCAAGGATTTCACCTGAGCATTTCCCTTCCACTATTTCCAGCTGTGGTTTGGGGGTTGTTTGTTTTTTGTTTGTTTGTTTATTTTGTTTTTTTCTTGCTGTTTTCTGTGCAGGGGGAAATTCCCAGTTGGATAGAGAGGCTGTGAAACTGTGGTGGGAGTTCTCAGCACTGGGACCTGGCAGGGATGGGCTTTGCCTTTTCCTCCCTGTGCTGGGCTGGGGAAGGATCTTGTGTCTGTCCCCACCAGTTGGGCAGACTGGGGAAACTGGGACAGAGGAGTGGTTTGGAGCCAGAGGCACTCCTGGATTCATGGGATTTGTGTGTCCCTGTCACCACAGCTCTGCCTGGTTCCCTCTGGGTTTTACCCTCACAGGATCCAAATTGTCCTGCTCTGCTGATATCAGATACCAGGAGTGCAAATCACACCGAACTTTGCAGTTTTAGGAACTGTGACTTGTTTTCAGAGTTGTTGACTTCCCTTAGGGACAGAAATACCCTTCCCAGTTTGGTTCTTTTCCAAATTGCTGTGTGTGGAAAAGATGGGGGCACTCTCTCGTGCTTCTGCTGGGGAGTGAAAAGAAGAAATTCTTTGCATGTGATAGTAAAATTAAAAGTGCAAAAAGTTTTGTTTCTTTTGATTTCTAACATTAAGTTAGTTTTATAGTATCTTACATTCCTGCTCTTGTTGTTTTGTTGTTGTTTTTTTTTTTTTTTTTAAATTAGCCTGGCACAGTATGATGGTGCAGTTTTAGCTGTAGGAAAAAAAAAAATAAAAAATAAAGTAACCCACTATTAACCAGAAGAGAAAGATGATACTGTGGCAGATCAGTAGCAAATAAGTGACTTAATCAATGCTTTACTGTAGTTAAATAGCTATGGCCTTACTACTTTGTCAATATCAGCTTAATTGTCTTGAAACTGTCTGCAATTTTTACTGTTCCCAGGTGAGTTTACCTGGGCTGAGATATCTGGTATGTACAGATGATATTTTAAATTTGTAAAATGCACCATTGTATTACAGACGATGCAACAGAAATGCACTTCGGGGGGAAATGGCTTCTGATGAGTTTTTTTGTAAATCCTTGATTACTACAGATATGCAATAGAGTTTTTTGTTTCTAATTTTGATATTTCCTTCTGAAACGTAAGATTGTTGCCATTAATCTGAATGATTTATCATGCTCTTCTTTGCGTGTATATATTCCATATAGTCTGAGCTTCCTTTAGGATGGTACATAATTTTGGGTTGTTGTAGTATTTTAGTTTGGCTCTTCTCTTCAGTGCCTTTAGCTCAGGCACTTCAAGAGGTTCATTGAGTCTGTTTTTAATGTACAGTTGGGAGGACTTGAAATGGAGTTAAAGCAACTTATTTCTGAAAAAAAAAAAAAAAATCCATCTGCAAACTAACCTGTAACAACTTAAAAATTTTATATTTAAGAACCAGATGTTTATTTTTATGGAACTTCAGTTATGGATACAGTTTCCAAAAAAAAAAAAAAATGCAACTTCAAATGTAAACAGACTGTGCATAAATGGGTTTTGTTCTAATTTTTATAGAATACAAAATATTCAGATAATATATTGAGCTCGAGTTACTACAGACATCTTGTTCCTCCCGGATGAATCCAGCTTCCCCTTGGCATTGACGATCTCTCTTCAAAGTGGTAGGAAAGGAGAAAAAAAAAAAGCAACTTATCTGGCTTTTAGACTGTCTGTTCTGGTTTATTCCTGTTGTCAAAATGTCCAAAACAAAATTTGTGTAAAGTAGGTTCATGCTTTAAGTGTTCAAATGATAATACATGTATTTGTATTTGTTTTTGACATTGCCAAGGTGCTATGGGAAATTGAAATAACAGTTAGAAAAATAAAGCTGATTTAAAAGAGAAAAAAACCCACCAAAAAAAAAAAAAAAAAAAAAAAAAAAAACCAAAAAAAAAAAAGAAAAAAAAACCTTAAACCACAACTCTCTGAGCTCTTCCTTGTGTCTGTGGAGGTTGAAATGTTTTTAATGCAGAATGGGGGTGCAGGGGCTTTGTGCCACCATTCCAGCCCTGCAGGGACCAGGGGGGTCCCAATCCCTGGCCCAGGGAATTGTGGCCAGAGGCTTCTGGAACAGGGGAGGGAGGGAGGCAGCGCTCCCAGTGCTCCCAGTTCTTGATGTTCGGGTGGTGCTGGTGTCGGTTCCTCTTGTCCCCTCCTGGCTGCTCCATCCTCCAGCACCCGCTGCAGGGTTTTGGATCCTTGGGTGAGGTCCCGTCCACGTTGTCACATCCTGAGACCAAGCCCGGGTTCCCCTTAGAGCGGCTCCTGTCCCGTCACGGGCACCGCCGAGGAGCCCAGAACCGGACACGGCTCCGGACGGGCCCGAGAGGGGAGCCCGGGATGGGAACGGGAGCAGAACCAGGGCTGGGGATGGGGAACGGGATCGGGAGAGGAACCGGGAACGGGAACAGAACCAGGGCTGGGGATGGGGAACGGGATCGGGAGAGGAACCGGGAACGGGAACAGAACCAGGGCTGGGGATGGGGAATCAGGATCCAGAACCAGAGCTGGGGCTGGGGCTGGGGATTGGAAGAACCGGGAAGAGGAGCAGAACCAGGACTGGGGATTGGGCCCTGGAGCGGAACCGGGACTGGGGATGGGAGCAGAACGGGGCCCGGGCCCAGAGAACGGGACCAGGACCGGGGATGGGGCCTGGCAGCAGAACCAGGACTGAGAGTGGACCAAGGCGTGGAAGCAGAACTGGGGCCAGGATCAGGAGCAGAACCGGGACAGCGATTGGGAGCGAGCCCAGGGACCGGGAGGAGCACCGAGATCGGGCTCACGGCCGGGAGCAGAACCGGGATTGGGAATGGGCCCAGGGAGCAGGAGCAGCACCGAGATCGGGCTCACGGCCGGGAGCAGAACTGGGATCGGCAGTGGGCCCATGGGCCGGGAGCAGAACCGGGATCGCGAGTTGGAACCAGGGGCCGGGAGCAGCACCGGGATCGGGCCCGGGGTTTGGAGCAGAACCGGGTTCGGGTTCGGGCTCGTGTTGGGCTCGGGTTCGGGTTTGGGCTCGGGTTCGGGCTCGTGTTGGATTGGGGTTGGGGCTGTGGTTCGGGGTCGTGTTGGGTTCGGGTTCGGGCTCGTGTTGGGTTCGGGTTCGGGTTCGGGTTCGTGTTGGTGTTGGGTTCGGGTTCGTGTTGGGTTCGGGTTCGGGCTCGTGTTGGGCTCGGGCTCGGCTGCAGCGCGGGGCGGGGCCGCGCGGGGGCGCCGCGGGGCTCGGGGGCGCGCGCGCCGCGCGGTCACGTGCCGGCGGCGCCGGGCTCAGCCATGGCGGAGGCTGCGGCCGCTCCCGCTCCCCCCGCGCCCCGCGGCCGCTGAGCCCCCGCCGGAGCCGCGCCCGGACCCGCGCCCGCACCCCGCCCTCGCCATGGCCGAGCCCGCGGCCGTGTCCTCGCTGCCCCGCGAGGTCCGCGAGCAGCTGGCCGAGCTGGAGCTGGAGCTCTCGGAAGGTGAGTGAGCAGCGCCGGCCGGCCCGGCCCTGCCCGCGGAGCCCCCTCCGTGTGAGGGGCCGCGGGTCGCGGGGTGCCACAGCGGGTCGGGAGCGGCGGCGGTGCCGTGAACGGCGCTCCGGGGTCTGTGTGAGAGAGGAGCGGGGCAGGAAGGAAGGGCCCGGCCCGGGCTGGGGCTGTGTCTGAGCGTCAGCAGCGCTGGGAGCATCGTCTGTGCCGGGGGACCCCCGAGTAACCCCGGGGAGAGCCCCCCGGAGGGACCCCGCACCTGTGGGGGACAGT